TTCTCAAATCTACTTCACATTGACCTGTTTTTCTTCAACTTGTTATTTATCAACAAAAAGTGAAGGCAGATAATGCTTCTGGCTGCGTCAGTGTGTCTGGTTATTAGCAAAATATCTCGTGAACCACTGGACGGCTTTAAATGAAACTCAGAAATGAATCACTGGATGTACATCTACAGCAAATTAAGTCTTGGGAGTTAATCCAATTCAAGATGGCTACCAATATTGTCAGCACAAAATTAGCTATGACTGAGTTAGTTTGAAAGATATTTAGCTAACATTTGATAGTTCGCAACAACACAACCTCATCTCACATGTAGTGATTTTGCATGAGATTGAATATAACAGCATTAACAAGGTTGGATCAAAATGGTTATACCCTCAGCTTAAGGCTACCTTTGACTAAAACTTTGACATGATCGCAGGTGAAATGCCTTCTTTCAAAGAATGCTTAGCCTTTAATTTGAATACGTTTAAAGCTGAAGTTAGAAATTTGAAAGCATTTTTGTGTCGCTCTTCACGTCTACCTTTAACTAACTAACCACTCTTCAAGGTGTCAGTTTCCCTCATCTGTGAACACAAGAGAGACCTGAACCTCCTTCTAATTACAGTGATGACGCAGGATGAAGAGACAAGACCGAGAGATGGAGGGAGGATTACGTGGAACGTCCATTTGCTAGAAGAGGATCACAGCTCACCTTGCGTGTGTGCACGTGCGTATTTTTGTACAAGTGTCTACCACGGTGCAGTTTTACTGCAGGACTAATTCATTCAATCTTATTTGTTGGTGTGAGAGTGTGGTAGAGGAAGACAGGAAAAGAGGGCTGGAGGGTAATTACTGACACTTCCTGCTGCTCTCTAATTGGCCATCTGCTTTGCCATGGGGCAGGCCCACAGCCATCTTACATTAGCTGTGAAGGATGTCAAAGACCCGACATGCACACAACAGACACCCCTCTAATCTGCCATATTAAGTTGATAGTTTGAAATTTCTGTTCAATCTGTTTCTGACAAGCTCACATCTAAACTGTTAGGACTGGAAAATATCAAAAACCACCTGAAGGAAGTGTATACTGATGTGGCAATATTTTATGGATGACATGGCATTTTCAGACCAACTGGACTAAATGGTGATTTTTCATTTGGCAAAGCAGAAGCAAACTACCATATTTTTCAGCATACAAGTCACAGGTTTTTTTTTGCATAATTTACACACCCTGCGACTTATACAACAACTTATTTATGTTTTTCCCCCATATTTATAAACCAATTTTGGGCTGAGGTATGACAGTTGTCATTCATTCTGACATTGAAAACATTGAACATTAACATTTTCAGCCACTACATGGCACTCAAGTAGTATGGCATGCCATTGTGTCATGTAATGGGTAAAAGTGGTTATTAATGACACAATCGGCTTGCCATAGCCTGCCACCTACGTCCAGCTCTGGGCTCATGCCTGGAGAACCGTCAAATTACCAGTAACTAACTCTGAACGCTAGGAAACGCCTTGTAACCGACTTTCCTTCCCTCCATTGATTACGGTGACATTATTTACATGAACGCTCCAACAAGAACCCTGCAGATGCTGGATGCTGCCTATCATGGTGCACTAAGATTCATAACTGGCTGTGACTACCGTATCCACCACTGCACCCTGTATTCACTGGTTAACTGGACATCATTAACTTCACGCAGACTCACTGGTACATTTAAATCTTTAAATCACTTCTTGGTCTGTTGCCTTCATACATCTCCTCCTAAAGTTCAACTTAGACACACCTTTGCTATAATGTCGAGCAAACAAATAATTGTTTTAGGTGCTTATCTTGTTAAATTTCAAAGAAATGCACAGCATTCCTACTTCCTGATTTCCTCCCTCTGCACGCTCCCGGAGCACCGAAGCCACAAGTACTTTTATACAGCTGATTTGACCAATAAACTTAATAAAAGGTTTATAAGTAAAAGTTTAACAGACATATCTTTACTATAAAGTCGAGCAAACAATTGTTTTTATGTGGTTATCTTGTTAAATTTCAAAGAAATGAACAGCGAGTCGCCCTCTGCACGTTCCCGTTTCCACGTATCGGCTTTTGAAACGCAGCTGATTTGACCATTAAAGTGCATTTATTAAGGAAAAGTTAGACTGAGACACATCTTTACTATAATGTTGAGCAAACAAGTAATTGTTTTTAAGTGTTAATCTTGTTAAATTGTTGTTAAAGTCCTCCCGTGCACGCTCCCGCAGCCACCATTTGGCAGCCAATTGATTTTTGGCACAACACAGACGCACATTTCCGGGTGTTAGCGGTGACACTTAAACGCGACACGTCAGCGGTGACGCATAATAGATGCAACTTTTACGGCGAAGAGACGCATTTGTTTTTTCCACTTTATTAGACATAAACGGCAGTGCGATGTGTACGGTGGAAAATAAGGTAAAATATATTTTGTAGGCTTTTGATTATGTGTTGACTATGTGATGGATTTCTAAAAAAAAAAAATTAAAATGACATACATGGAGTACTGCATCTTAAAATAAAGTTCTACAAAATGGTTATTCATGAAATAAATATGAAATAAAAAGCTAACGGTTTTACATTTCACTCTGCCAGCACAGACTTAAGCAAATTGAACATAATTTAAAATAAGCTACATTATGGCAAAGTTTCCTTAAAAAATATATATTAAACCTTGTGCCGCATGAGTTTGTAATATAAAGGACTACCCGAATGAAACAGTCCCAAATAGTAAGAAAAAATATTAGGTTTGAAGCAAATTTTTTATAAACTATAAGAATAATCTGCTGTTTCAGGACAGATTTGTTATTTTTGCAGAAATTGTTTTTTGTTGTTTGCTTTTTATTGTTGGCAGTTGTAAGTAATCCAATTTGTATCTAGTATCCTGCTTCAAATAAAATAAATACAAGTGAAAATTTCAAATACTGTTTTGTTTTAATTTAATTTAAAGTCAGCTTTCAGCCATTTGTTTTGACTTACAACACAAAACTGATTCTTCCCCCAACAGCTTACTCCAAAGTGGAACAAACCAGTTATGTTGGTGCTAAGATGGTGTCTTCGGCACGCCCCCTCCTCCGATGCCGGCCCTCTTCCTCGTCGACAGTCATGTCAAACTGGTTCAAAACCAAAAAAGTCCATGTTCAATAATTTGTTGTGTGTTGTGTGTTTCCTTGCCTGATGAAGCCTTCTGGATGGAAGGTGAAACATTTCAGAAAAAAAAGAAACCGTCTAGATGACCTGACTGAAAATTGTTGGATTGAAAATTGTTGGATTGTATACCTGGATTATTGCGCATGGACTTTTTTGATCGTGAGCCTAAATTAACATTGCTGAACAAATGGGATATGTGAGAACTAAACTCAGAGGGAACAGCAGCTAAAAGCTCAGTTACTTAATGCTGATACATTAAGAACAAAAGATTTTGACTAACTACTGGTAACTGGACTGAGATGTAAATGAGGGAAATTGCTGAGTAATAAGTAGAACTGAAATGATTTTCAATGAGGCCATTATAAAGCCCAAGAGCTGTAACTTTAGGAGAGCAAGTGCTGAAGCTGTGCATCAAAGTGGACGCACTCCCTTGCCCCCCACCCCCACCCCAAACACACAAGACGGTGTTGCAGCAGACAATGCAGCAGTCCTCCAGTTTCCAGTCACTTCAACAGCATAATGAAACAGGGCATTCATTCTGCACACATAAATCACATTACACCTAAGCAGCATCTTATGTGATGCATTGTAAAAGTAACATGACATGTATGCATGCATTGCACACTCAGTTTTTAAACGATAAATCACCTTCTAGAGTGGTCAGAGATCTGCAGAACGTCAACGGCTTTACACCCTCTCTCCAACTAGATGAATAAAGTACGTACCTCTTAAACCTGAACATTGGCCACACCTCAGCCATAAGTCTTTGGTCAGTTAGTCACGGATCCAACTATTAAATTTCTAAAACCACTAGTTTTCATTGAATCTTTCTCAACAGCCTAACCAACCCTGAGGTGAAAGAACAATTAAGGCTCCAGATATTGAGCTGTAGTCAACAAATATTTTAAGTTTTGACAGGGAAAGGAGATGCAACAGTGATTTATTTTAGCATCTCTCACAGTGAATAGCCTTTATCAGAGTAAAGAACAGCACTACACACATGCAACAGCTCACGCTTGGCATCACTGCT